GGAGCCGCAGCCGCGCCGACAGTCCAAGGGGACGGGCAGAGCTGCAGAATGAGATGAGAGGCCTCGAGCTCGTCCAGAAATTAGGCAACAGATTTAATTTCTAACTCTTCCGGCTGCGTGCACCCCCGAGGGGTCGGGAGAGGGTTCAGAACACGGGCTACATGCGGTGGATCCATGCTATGGCACAGGCGGTCGCGACTCAAATCAGTGCAAGGAGCATTCGTGTTTTCAGACAAAAACAGAGCCACGGAAAATTGCTAAAGAGTTACCGGAGGAGCGGGGCAGGCCCGGTCCCGCTGCAGCAGGAGCGGTCACCGCGGGGCCGGGGGGCAACCAGGGCTCGCTCACGGTGCACGCGGGTTTTTGAACATTGTGTTGCTTTCGGGTTTTAGTTTTGGTTTGGTTTTGTGGGGTTTTTGTACATTTTTTTCCTCCCTCTCTTTCCTTTGCCGGTTTGTTTTGCTGCAGAACTGTGCTCCCTGCACAAGAGCCTGGAGCAGGAGAAAAGAGATCTGGAAGATCCTGAGCGCCCCAGACAGAGGAAAAGGAGGAAACCTCGTGTCCTCTTTTCTCAAGCCCAAGTCTACGAACTGGAGCGAAGGTTCAAGCAGCAGAAATACCTCTCAGCTCCCGAGAGAGACCATCTAGCGAACGTCCTAAAGCTCACCTCCACCCAGGTGAAAATCTGGTTCCAGAACCGAAGGTATAAACGCAAAAGGCAGAGACAGGATCAGACCCTGGAAATGGTGGGCATCCCTCCCCCCCGGAGGATAGCGGTGCCGGTGCTGGTGCGCGATGGGAAGCCCTGCCTGGGGGAGTCTTCTCCCTACAGCTCGCCGTACAATGTCAGCATTAACCCCTATAGCTACAACGCCTACCCCGCGTACACTAACTACAACAGCCCCGCCTGCAACGCCAACTACAACTGCAACTACCCCTCCATGCAGACCATGCAGCCCTCGGCGGCCGGCAACAACTTCATGAACTTCAGCGTAGGGGACTTGAACTCGGTGCAGACGCCCATCCCGCAGGGGAACGCGGGGATCTCCACGTTGCACGGGATCCGAGCCTGGTAGAGCCGCCCCCGCCCCAGCCCGCTCCCCTCCGCGGGCCGCGGCCGCCGGCGAGACCCCGGAGCCAGGGATGGAGGGGCTTCGGCCGGCGC